GCACTTGTAAGCCTTAATGAAGTAGAAAATTGAAAGAAGATTGAGAATCTTTCTTTCTAGCAGTTTACAGTTTACCATGACAGGACAAACAAACTCTTAATGGGTAATTACTAGAAACCAGGGAAAGTAGTAAATAGACATACTTTAAGAATTCAGTCTTGGAAAAGTTCATGTTGAATATGCTGTAAAATACAGCATTTTACAAATGAAAAATAGGGTCAGGATGTTACAGTAATTCAAGGGGAAGATGTAAAATGAATTTTAGATGGTGAAAATATACTTAGTTGTTAGATATAAAAATTGAAGAGCTCAGGAAGTTGTTAATGAAATTAATTAAACTAGAAAGGTTCAGGGATAAATAGCACAAAATTGAAGAAACTCTGTCATGATTAGTTTCTGAGCTTTTTATCTCCAAGGTAAAGAAACTTTCAGTCTGAGTTTTCTATATGTCACTTCTTAGATATCTCTTCTGACTAAGTAATTTTTAAGTAATAGCTTAGACATTTAGGTCTAACTTAAATCATAGAAGCAGCTCAGAAGTCCTTGAAGAAATGTCACAATTTTCAGGTCAGAAAAACCCACTAAAATTCAGCAGCTCTGGGTGGCCTTAAGCTGGAAAATCAATAAAAGGAGTTTACCAGGGGCTCCTTATTAGTGATTTGGAGTTCTAGACAAAGGTTAGAGAGATATCAGAATAAAAATAACTTTTAAAAATTACTTATAAATACTTTAAGAAAAGTGCCTAACATTCTGTCATCAAGGCCCTTATTTGACTAATTGTTAGGCTGTCACATAGTCCACAGGGATTATACGTGTCTGGCAGTTCAAGTCCACCTGCTGCTCAGCAGAAGAAAGACGCACAGTCCCAGATGAGCAGTCTCAAGTGTGGTTAACACCCTTCAGCACCCATGGGAGGGGCAGCTCTGAGTTTTAACTCCATACCAATGAGGGTTTTTAGGATCATTTTAGGTGCAAATATTCATGTACAATCTCCCCCCTCTTAAAAATAGCTGTGAATAGGACTGATACCAGGGTTGGGGTAAGACTGAGAAAAACTGGATAAATTATGTATACTGCATTGAAACAGATGAGGGAGAGAATAATTTAAAAGCGATATATGATAGGGTATTATAGTTATCACAAGAGCCCACAATTAAGGGTGCATAGTGGAGTGTACCCAGGGGAGTGGGAGGTGTGCGGGGGGGGGGGGTTTGTTTAGAAAAGAAAGAATTTTTCTTTTACTTTTTCAAAGAGAGGAGCAAACTGGAGGGGGGGGAGGAGGGGCTGGGCAGGGAGAAAAGTGCAACAATGAATGAACGGAAATCCAAAATCTCTGTAAATGTTCATTGAAATTGTAAAAAAGAATAAAAAGGAAAGGAGTTGTAAATTAAACAGAAATATATATAGTTTTATGTACATATACAGGGAATGGTGAGGGGAGAGAAAGAGCTCTGATGCCTTAGTGTTAAGGAATTACAATGCCAAGTCAAAGGTACAAAGTTCGAATCTACCAGCAGATCCATGGGAGAAGGAAGGCTGGACAATCTCCTCCCTTGTAATTTAGTGCCTTCTGAAAACTCACTGGGTTAGCTATGAGTTGGCTCTGACTCCATTGCACACAACAACAATATATGTTGTTGTTGTTATTGTTGTGTACCATAAAGTTGGAACCAACCCATAATTGACCTTCCAGTAGGTTTTCAGCGTCAGTTAATCACATAGTAAGAGATTCAGTGATGTCAGTCTGGAGACTAAGGTGCACTGTTGTAGGCCATGGTCTTGACAAATTATGTGCTATGCATCAGAAAGCTGAACAATGACTAGTGATTATAGAAGAAGAATTGATGCCTTTGAGCTGTGGTGCTGGAGAAGAATACTGAATCTACCATGGACTGCTAAGAAAACAAACAAGTTTATCCAGGAGCGGGTGAAACCAGGCTGTTCCTTGCAGGCAAGGATTCTGAAGCTCTGTCTAACATACTTTGGTCATGTTGCAAGGAGGGACCAGTCCTTGGAGAGGGACATCATGGCTAGGGTGTTGGAGGGACAATGCAAGAGAGGAAGACACTTGATGAGATAGATTGACTCTGTGACTGTGGTAATGAGTATAGATGTATCAAAGACAGTGAGGCTGACTCAGGATAGAGCAAGGTTCAGAGCACCCGTACATAGGGTTGCCATGAGTTGCAAGCAACTCAAAGGCACATTTTCCATCCTTTACTCTGCATCTGAGAGCTAGTCTTTTCAATAATTTGACATTAATTCATCTGAGAGCTAGTCAAGGAATTAGGATGACAGAGAAGAATTGATGTCTTTGAATTACAGTGTTGGAGAAGATGTACTGAATATCCCATGGACTGCCAAAAGAATGAACACAGAGAGCTTGTAAAAGGTGCAGCCAGACTGCTCCTTGGAGATAAGGATGGTAAAACTTCATATCTCATACTTTAGACACATTGCTAGGAGAGGCTATTCCTTGTAAAGGGACATCATGCTTCAAAAGGGGGAGCATCAGCGAAAAGAGAGGAAGACAATCAGGTAGATAGACACAAAGACTGCAGCAATAGGTTCAAGTGTGTCTGAGACGATGAGGATGGCACACGGCAGGACAAAGTTCTTGTTTGTGGTTCATAGGGTTGCTATGAACTTGAACCAATACCACCTAACACTGACAACATATATACAAAATATATATAATGTTTTTAAACCAAGAACAGACATTACAGTCTCCTTAATACTCTCATGATCTCCAGGTTGGTGGGGAAAAGTGCATAATCTATTTTACTTTGAATCATTCGACATTAGTTAACATATTTTCATTTAATTAATTCAAATGTTATATTTCACACAGTTCTAACATAACTAATGTTCATATGATATACTTAAAAAACAAAATTGGTTCACATTGGTCCTATCCTCTTGTAGTCTAGTGATGAAAAACTGCACTGTAATCCTGAAGGCATGTAGTTCAAATCTACCAGCTGCTTTGCATAGGTTCTGATCAGATGGCACACAAGTCAGTAACTACTGGTGTATTTTGTAAATATACTTTTTAGTTTCTTTTACAAAAGAAATAGCCACAATGGAATCACATTTTCTTTTAATGATTTGTCACACATATACAACAAAGACACATTTATTTCTCCAGTGCAAAAGCAGAAAAAATAATATAAATATTATGCAAACAATATATAATTTCATAATTAAATTTGTTTTAAAAATTAATTTGTAGTAGTCTTACAAGGAGAGAAAAACAAAGATCAATCCTCAAAATTCTTGTAAGATCAGTTAAGTAAAAATAAAAAGCCATTTTAAATGTCCCTTGTGCCCTCTAATGGTAGAAAACCAAAACTTTTTACCTGTACACCTCTTCCTTCTTTGCCCATCAATCACCCTTGATATGACACTTGCTTTAGATGAATAGTGCTCAATATTTTATTTTGTACAAGTTCACAAAGGAAATGAAATTAATGTGAATCCTAGCTAATACTAAATTTCTGAGCATTTTATCATCTGAATGTCTCTGCTTTTAAAAAGTTACTAAATGATTGACATTCACCTCTTTCCTCAATGTAGGGTATATTTATAATGTTTAAGCTCATGTACATATGCTGTATAAGGTAATTAAACTCATAGAAATAAATCTAGGGATTTTTCCTCAATTGTTAGAAAATTATTAATATATGAAAAATTTAACCTTTCACTTTTCTCTTCACATACAATTTTAAGATCATGCTTATATTCTGACATGTCTACGAAAATCAAAAAGCTTCATTCAGTAAGACATCTAAGCAATTTTCTTTCAAGAACCCAGAAATAGATTTAGAGCCACTGTAGCTCACAAAATGCGTAGGGACACTGTTGTAGCAATGTGACCTGGTGATGGTGTTTATTTAGGTTTAGTTCTTTTTTGAAAGTAAAGTTTCAGTTGAATGGTTTCAAGAGGAAAGAAAATTGATGCAGTGGTGAAAACTACTGAAAGGAAAATTAAATGAAGACTTAGATAAAACATTAACAATGAATCCCAGAAGAAGGGTGAAAGCCTGTCTCACATAAAACTGAGGAAGGTGGAGGGTCAGAGAAAGAAAAGTACAATCAACCACATAGATTGGCACAGTATAAAAATGGCCGGGAGTGTATTAGAGAGGAAGAGTGAACAGGGAAAGGTTCAAATCTGTGGTTCACAGGACTGCTATGAAAGTAGTCAACTTGAGAGCACCTAACAACAATTACCACAAAAGTAATTTGTATGTGGGTTCTACACACAGGAAATTGTCTTTTAAGGTCTTAACCCCAACCTTAACATTCACAATTCAGCCATTCACTTAGTCACTTCAAATAAAAACCTTTCAATGGGTTAGAAAAAAAATATTATTCCTTAAAGCTACTATTTTTTGTTTCCTCTTAACTGAATTTATCTCATTTGTCTAGATATTTTGTCTCAATTCCTCTCATTAATAATTCTATATTCACTTTTCTTTTGCATTTTCCTTGCATTATCTGAAAATTAGTGCATCAGTCTCTCAATTACACAAAATTTGTCCAGAAGTCTGGCTGCTCAGAAAAGTACCCTAACTATTGAAAGAACCCAGAACCTGTGTGATCACTCATTTCACACATTTGTCCTAGATATTTTGCTTTAACCCCGGAGGTGGTAGCAAATCACATGCTTTACAAAATAAATGTGAAAACTTTTTAGAGTAGGAGAATGGGAAGAAAATGGGTAAAGATGGTACTGACAGTTCTTTTTTCAATATCCTCAATATGAGAGTGCTTTTGAATGACTCCCTCTGTGCGTCAGACATCTAGAGTAGCAGTTAGCAATTAGGGAAGATCGTCACTTTCACTCAAGATTACAACTTAAGGGAAGAGAGGAAGAGGAGGAAGAGAGGAGGTGGAAATGAGAAAGGAGGGAGGACACATCCTGAAGAGATAATCCCTGTACACTCATGACATCATCCTCCTGCTTATATATTTAGGGGATGGCCAGAGCATCTCTCATAATTCAGTCACATTGAAAGTGAGCTGAAGACGAGACAAAGTCCTAGAGAGAGCCTCACTCCAGCGCGTCTCTGACATTTATGGGCTTGGCTTGCTAGAAAGCTGAAGAAGATGATGGCAGGAACAAAAATCCAGCTGGTATGCATGCTACTCCTGGCTTTCAGCTCCTGGAGTCTGTGCTCAGGTAAGCATAGTGCTTTTCCCAACTCCCTGAACTGATTTCTTGTCTCTTCCCTGCAGTGTGCTGTAACCTATGCTAATATATCCAGGGAGAGGAGTTTTTCCCTCGCTCTGGATTTCCTTTTTAATGACAGAAACAGAATCTTTTCTTTCTCTGTCTTTACAAATACAGTAACCGAGAGACTTCTTTTCCTTTTGTAAAATCTACAAAGCAATAAAAAAAATTTCAGTGGAACATTGCATATAACCACAGAACTTAATTAAGTGTCCACTATCTAATCAGAAGTATAGATGCAGAGCCTGGCAAACTAAATACACACCATTTAAGCCTGTATTTACTCACATTCTCAGCCATTATTTTAGGAAGTAGTGGATTCTCTCTCTCTTAATATTTTTTCCCTCAACTTGTTTGTTAAGATTCCAAATAAATTGAAAAGTGTGCTTAATATACAAATGAACAAAGTATTATTTCTAGAATATCAATTTCAGAAAAAGAAACAATAGGGTCCAAGTTCTTTCAGAGAATGAATTTTTATATAGTAAGAGTGCTACTAATTTATTTCTTTCTTTGCAAGTTATTCAACTTGCTAAAATATAAGTGGAAAATTAGTATTCTTAATTTAGCAGAAATGACTAGGCTTTGTCTTATGTTACATGTGATAATTAAGGAGCAGTGCTAGATTGCTAAGTATCAACAATTCATCTTAAATATAAGATATTAATCTGAAGTATGAACATGGATTACAATGATGTAAGTGTGCTCCAATTAATTCTTGCAAAATAATTGAATAATTTTTATACTTCAGGATGAAAAATAATCCCTTAGAGAACAAATAGTGCATATAGTTAACTTCAGTTTTAGAAATATGTTTTATTGAAAATGCTAAGTCAAATTTAAGATTTCATTTAAATTATGACATTAATTATAGCAGATGTTATGTGATTTCTGGTAAAACTTAATTTGACAATTTTTATAGCTAAATACCAACTCATTTACAATTATGATTTTATCAACTAGTCATATGAGACCACAGATGTATATTAAGAATATGTGAGAAAACTGTGGGAATTGTCTGAACACTTCTCTGGTAACTTTAAATCTGCTTTCTGTGTTAAGTCAAAATATATGTGGATTTAGGTATGCCTTACTGATAAAGACTTCTCATGCCTTCTGAAAAGAAAATTAAACCTCTAACAAATAAGAGGAAAATATTTCTGACATAACTTTGTTCTTAGAGACAGCTTAACTTCACAAATGATTTCTCCAAGTGTAATACTTACTTTAGACAGGTGTGTAAATTTCAAGCAAATAGTCACTTTTACTTCTCATTTCTATATATCTGTAAGTATAATGTTAATATCATCACTATTACATGACGTAGCAGTATATATTATTATGGGATATATTAGTATAGTAAGTTATTGCACTATATTTGCATTACTTTAGTTCCTAAAGTTAACCTTTTTTATAAAATATTCATTGATGGAAAATGAAGAGTATCTTTTAAATAATGAGAAACACATTTTCATCATTATTGCGTATGAGATGATGGGTAATTCTGTCTTGGTTTTGAACAATTTTCTTCCTTGCTTGTGATAAAAGTGCTGTTAAATGTACATAAATCTAAAATCTCATTTAAAGTAGAAAAACAATTTTTTGATGTGAGATTTTAATACATCTTATATTAATTAATCCCTACTGCCATTCTTATTATTAGTATGCAATTTCTTTTTCTTCTTTTTGATTTTAAAAAATCACTGGTATGCAAATATTTTTGTTGTTTTAAGAATATTCATGTATATATGTTCAATATTTGTAAATTATTGTTCAATATATGTAAATTATTATGGTTATTATGGTGCCTAACTTGATGGAAATTTTGTTATAAAACATTTAACAATAAGGTTTTGCTGCTTTGTTTTTAATTGAAATTCAGATATTAAAATTCAAGTAATAAATAACTTATAAAGAAATAAAACGTGAGATTTTTTTAAGAGACACAGTGTTTTAACTTCATGTTAACCTTAACATAAAACTAATATATTTTTCTGAAACAATTTATAAAGAAAAAATACAAAATAGAGACAAGAAGCTACTAATTTCTTAGGATAATACAAAATCTATTGGTTGTAATATGATATATGATTATAGTAAACATGTGGTTTTGATTTTACTCAGAATCGGAAGAGGAAATGAAAGCGTTAGAAGCAGATTTATTGACCAATCTGCGTACATCAAAGGTAAATTTTTCTTTTCTCTAACTGAAGGTTGAAGAATATATGAACTTTCATTATAAACATGCTACTCTTTTCCTATCTATAGTAATAACTCCTAGTCAAGACTGAAAAATTCATTGAGAGGCATTTCCTTTTTCTGGAAACTTTTCCTTCAGTTCAAAGGAGTTAAAAGTGTTGATGTGACAGAGAAAGAAACTACACCGACTATCACTCAGCATATTACTACTTTAATTAAAAAGTCACATATTATTTATGTAGACATGTAAATATATTTAAGAGAAACTTGTTCCCATCTTCATCACATTTTGTATGATGAAAGATATATTAGTCTGACATTAAATGTGCAAATAAAACTACCTGAACTTTCCAAAAAAATTATTATTTTGGAGAAAATAAAATGTGATAGTTAAACTAAAATTGAAAGTTCAAGCCAATTCAAGGAAGAAATATAGCGAGGAAAGACCAAAATATTTGCAAACAGTAATCTTGATACCTAATCCTACAAATGAAAAAAAATAATTGATGTTAAGCTTGTAGACTGATTAACATTTTTTACCCTTGTTTCCTTATAATTAAACGCAGTGTTGTAGGGTAAGAGCTTCAAAATATTTACAGCTTTATAATGTGATTATGCCTAGATTTAAATATTTCCTCCAGCAGTATATATCTATTCATAGTACATTGAATAACATCCTGAACTTTTTGGAACCTGCAAACAGGTTTTCTACATCTCACTTAGAAATGAAAGCCATTTGAAATAATGCCTTTTTAATTGACTAGCAGACTATATTGATTTACCCATTGTAAGTTATTCAGTGTACATCCAAACGTAGGTTCAAGACACAAGTTCCCAAACAGAGATGTTTCATAAAGGGGGAAAAAAACAACAACCAAAAACCAAAACCAACAATCCAAAAAACAAATTGAAGTGATACAACAACCTACTACGGTTACTTATTGCTGTTAGAAACCTAAAATGAAACTAAGTGTAATGATAAGAAGTAAATGAACTTGTCTCATTTCTGATACTGTCTTCCAACTCATTTTCTACCTCCTTGGCCTAATATTAAGGACTTTTGACAACCCAAAAATATGCAGCTTGAATCCACCAGCTGCTCCATGGGAGAAAGATGGACAATCTCTCGTACAATTCATTGCCTGTGAAAACACTGAAAGGTCTACTCTGAGTTGGTTCCGACCTGATGACACATAGCAACAATTTGGCAAACATGTCTTAAGTACAAAAATCCCCTGGTACATTTCTAGGGTTATTTTGAAAATTAATGTGAAGGAATAAAATCAAACTGTGTGATATTTGTATGTCAATAATCATCACAACATTAAAAATATGTGCTTTCTACCATGATCCTCAAAAGACATTTTGGGGAAACAAAAAAATATATGTTTACTTTCATGATCCAGGTCTATATAAAAATTTATCAGATTAAAACCAAATACTCCTATATAGCTTGGTTGGTTTTACATAAGAAATAATAAAATTTCACTTAGTTATTAACACTTGATGACAACATATATTTAACGTTACTACAATCACTTCACTCGGAAGAGTAGGATATGATACCTTGGTGCTTTGGTATAGATTGTATTATCTATAATTTTAAATGTACATTGGCACATGTAAAGATCTTAAACTTCAGAATGCATATTTAGAAGGAGAGTTGTGATTACTATCCTGGGAAAGATTCTATAAGGGAAATGTGATTCTAGTACAAGAGGAAAGCTAATGTTTCTCTTAAGACAAATACACAGCAAAACATAACATGATAAACTTTTACACTTAGGTATACAATATATCAATAAAATGAATCATGGAAAAATATTTGAATCTCAATACTTCTTGTTACTTGAAATAGGTAAACCAAAGTCTTTGATTAGTGGAAATTTAAAAGTGTAATTATTCCAATTTTTTTGCTAAGATGGGTGAGAGACTGAACATTCATTCCTTATTTATCACAAAAGAACTGTGTCTTTTGTCTTTTACTTCTCCTTGATCTAATTCATGTGTGTGTATTTGTGTGTGTGTGTGTGTGTGTGTTGTCCAATGGAAATAAGTACTAAGCTTAGTAACACTTTATTAAAATTACTACATTTAAAAATATAATAATAGTATTAGATGTTGGTATGAGCTCAAGTCTGTTATTAAAAGCCTCAAGTATTATGTTCATACTTCTATTATATTTTAGTAAATTTAACTTTGTTATTGTTGTTGTGCACTGTGGAATCAGAACCAATCCATACAGTTGACCCTCTAGGGGTTTTCTGAGGCAGCTGATCACACAGGAGGAGACCGCCCATCTTTCTACCAGGGAGAAGCTGGTGGACTCAAACCGCTTGCCTTTGGGATTAAAGCACAGCTTCTTGCGATTAAGCCACCAGAACTCCCTTAGGTATTGAAAAAAAGAAAGGCACCAGATATAACACGTAAATTTTTCAAAAGCAAACTATACTTATGACCTTATTTTTAAGTAAAAATTTAGAAAAAGTTTAAAAGTAACTTATACCTCATCCTACATCCGGCAACACAAGCACTATTGTTTGTTTTTTATTCTTCTCACTAGCTTTGACACTTTCTATCTCTCTGTACACACCAGCCCCAAACACACACACACACACACACACACACACACACACACACGCTGATTATACAGTCTTTCTCTGTAAACACAGTTTTCAAACTGGTTCAAATTTTCAGAATGTTATCTTATTTGCATTTGCAAACAGAACTGAAATTCGTATGATTTTATTTCATCAGTCTTTTAAGAATTAAGAATTTACATTTAGTTAAGTTTCAATTTTATTGAGGCTGTTGTAGTAATCCTCTTTTATACTCAACAGACTTGAATATTCTTAGGATAAAATCTTAATCAAAATTCATATTTATTTTAATATGTTGAATTTTAACACATTTTTTTTCCAAAACAAAGACTTTTTGGAGAGACCAAAGCAAGCTACACTCTGATGAACAAATATTTAGGAAAGAATACTGGTTTTCTCTGACCTGGTTAGCACTCAGCTGTACTTATCCTTTTTACAGCTTCCCATTGTGAGGGAGCTCTGGTGGCAAGGGATTACCTCTGCTAGCACCAAGGTAAGAGGCTGGAATTTACCAGATGTTTCGTGGGAAAAAGTTGAACAATCTCCTCCTGTGTAATTTACTGCCCCCGAAAACCTATTGGCAGGTCAGCTGTGGGTCGGTTCTGGGTTCTGACTCAATAGTATACAACAAAAATACTACTGTAGTAGTAGACAAGATGAAATTATTTTACATATTTCTTTAGCTTTGTATTTTTGTGAACGATCCTGTGATTGCTTGCTTAATCCACTTATCCACAGTTGAACATCTTATTTTTGTTTGCTTTTTAATTGTTATATGCCATCAAATCAACAACTTATAGCAACCTTATGAAGAATAGATTAGTCCCTATCATATGATGTCCTCAAGACCCCCAAAATACCTGAGCCCATTGTTACAGTCACTGTGTCAATCCACCTTATTGGGTTTCCTCCTCTTTTTCTCTGTCCTTCTACCACCATTATCTTTATTTTTCCTTTCTTTCCTACCACCATTATCTTTAAAGAACTCATCCTTTTTAAGGCAGGGTGAAATATATTGACATTTAAAGACAGCTTTTCCTGCATAACTTGGTTTTGCTTTTAGTTCAGTTTGTCATGGTTTCGCAGGAGTACTGAATCACATTGTCGTGGGGTTAAATATAGGGCTGCTAATTGAGCAGTGGATGTCTCCAGCTCTTCAGCAACTCTCCTGGAGAAAGATAAACTGATCTGCTCCTGTAATGTTTTACAGCTTCTGAAACTGACAGTTCTACTCTGTCCTATGAGGTCACTATGAGTTTGAATGGACCCAAAGACTATCGGTGGATTTATTTTTAATGTATTCAAAATAGTCTTTTCATTTAAAAGATCTGGTTTAGACGTTACTGAATATATTTCTTAACTTCTAGTTGTTTCCTAAAAAAAAAGTAAGTATATTTCGACATTGTTATGTCGATATTTAGTTAGATTTCATTTAGTTGTAATATATCAAAGAGAATTATAACTAGATCTACATACAGATTTCTCTACAGCCAACACTTAGAATGACTTTGAAACACATCCTTTCTCATGAGCTGCACTCTCATGTGCAATTTAGATCCATTCTGGCCATTATTTTATTATTTTTTCTTTATATGTGAATGAAAGATGTGAAAGTTTTACCGTCTTATATGACCATTTGATCATTTTTATTGGAATATACTCAGTGGTGATAATGTTTTTTTTTTTAAATTAACTTGCATATTTAATCATATTCTGTTAATTCACTTGATTACTATAACATCTTAATATCTGAAAGATTAAGTCACCTTCCATTTATTTTTTATTTTTAAAATACTAATCTTGATTATCTTCATACATTCATTCCTACAGATTTATGTTGAAATAATTTTGGCAAACTTCCTGCACCAACATCTAGACTTCTTTTATTTCACCAGTTACGAGATCAATTTATAATTGTATTACATTTAAAGATTCATTCAGAAGGACATTTAGATATTAATTCAGAGGGAACTGGTACCTGATGCTATTATTGTTAAATCTCCTCTTAACATTTGTGTGTTAATTCATGGCGTCTGTAATTTATTTCTCTTTAAAAGTTTGGAGATGTCCTTCAGGAATGAATTTTAAATTGTGAATCTTTCTTAAGTAGTTCACCCTTCGTTTCTCCTGTCATATTTATCCTTTCTCAGTGATTCATCTTGTTGTGTATGAAAGGTGTTCATTGCAGTAATTATAACATTAGTAAGAGCTTATTAGAAAATCTTGGTAACTCTACAGAATATTGTGAATTTCAAATAAATAAAGCAGACATTGCCCATGACAAGCCATTAGTGTGCAGAATACATCCGTGACCTCACATTACCATGATTGTCTAAAGCTATTAGAGAATCTGCTTCAAGCAGTATTAAACTGGAATGATAGAAAAGGAGAATGACACTTTAAAAAAAATAATGTTTTCTTCCTACATACTTAAATTTATATATTCTCTCTAAGTTTGTTGCAGTATATTAAAGAAAATACACTTCACTGGTGCTATTCAACTTTAATGCTGTGATTTTCAGTAAAGTTAAAGAAACAAATGAATTTTACAATGCAATGATTAATGTAATGAAAATGTACTTTTACATATCACACATACTTGAATTGTATCTGTAATTTTTTCTTGCATTTTTAGATCAGTAAAGCAAGTGTTCCTTCCTGGAAAATGACCCTGCTGAATGTTTGCAATCTTGTAAATAACCTTAACAGCCAAGCTGAGGAAACAGAAGTTTCTGAGGAGGAGCTTATTACAAGAAGGAAATTTCCCACTGCTTTAGATGGCTTTAGCTTGGAGGCAATGTTGACGATATACCAGCTCCAAAAAATCTGTCACAGCAGGGCTTTTCAACACTGGGAGGTAAAACAAAAACAAATATAAATATAATTCTGCTATGCTGTTTTAATTCTCATTTGTACTGATTTTTTTTTATCCTGATAATGATCATTACAGGAAGACTTACAAACACTGGCAAAGAAGAAACCATGTGTTGAGGTTAACATTCCTTCTACTCTTCGAAGTGTCTTTCAAATATTTGGAGTATAGCAAAATATTTTTCTTGAATCTTTAAAGACGGATATCTTTTAAGACAGATTTGATCCATATGCTCTTAGTATACTTAAATGGATAGCATGCTTCCTCAGTTTCTGTTGGTTTGGGGTTTGTTTGGTTTTATTTGGTAATGGTGGTGTCAGTGGTGTGCCTAAGAGATTTCAAGAACTCACAATGTTTTCTTAGAAACATGAAGTCATGTGTGTTCTTCCATAAATAGATATTAAATATATGAGTGGTTCCATTCAAGTTTGTAAATATTGTTGTTGTTTGTGTGTGCCATTGAGTTTATGTTCAGTTCCTCTTCTACTAGACTTAGCTCCTCCTATTTGTCTCCTACTGGAAGAAACTAAGCATGATATTATTAAATATGTGATTTTAAAAGCACAAATTATTTACAAAATTTATTAATTTTATTATTATTAGCAATATGTATTTGCAAAATTTATTGACCAGCTTATAACATACTGCTCTAAAAAGTAGAGTTTGGAAGAAGATTATAAACAAACATCAGAGTTAAAAACTGAGAGGGAAAGTAAATGAGAATGATTTAAAGAGAAGGAGGACGAGGGGGAGGGAAGAGAAGAACTAGAAGAAGCAGAGCAGCAGCGGAAGAATCTTTACATTTGCTGAACCAGGGAAATATTCCCTCTGCATGAGTCTCCTCACAGGGAGCTCTATTAGCTCTTCTGAAGGAGAAAGACGAGCAAACTCCTTCCACGTGATTTACAGCCTTGGAAACACAACTGAAGGTCTTCTATGAGTTTGTCCACACTTAATTGACAGTGAGACCCAGAAAGACAAATAGAAAGAGAGGGAGAACCTCTAAGGCAAGTTTGCCTCAGATTTCATATCTTGGACTTACATCAACATTGCAAATGAAAACGACTGACTAGCAATCTCTGTGACAGTCTACCACATTTGTTATTTAAAGAAGAAATGCAAAGCAGAAAAAAAACTTATGTTCGTCTTAACAGGTAAACAAATAGATGAACACCCTTATAGGTCAGTTTTAATTTCACCTTGGGACTATTTATCCTTTAGTTCTGATCTTAGACATGTTGTTTGTTGTTGTTGTTATGTGCCGTCGAGTCGCCTGCGACTCATAGCGACCCTATGTGCAACAGCCCTAAACTCCGCTCTGTCCTGTGCCAATCGCACTGTCTCTGACACTCCCATCCCAATTATCCCAGTCACTAAATCAATCCACCTCATAGAGGGCCTTCAATAAAACTTTCAAAATAAAAATTCTGAAATAGAAAAATCCCAATCAGATGCAATTTACCCAGAAACAAACATGTAAAATACTTTAAAAAGAAAATCTTAACAAGCCAGAATATAAAAAGTAAGTATGCAGAAAGGTTTCAACACCTGATAACTTAGCTGTTACTGAGATATTCAAATAGTATTATTCAGTATATGACAAATAATTGTAGACTATGCACAGAGAAGATTAAGAAGCTAGGTTTTTTGACAGCTACTTTTCTTCTTTGAACGTTATTGGTTGTGGGTTGGATTAAAGTAGTCAGTGATATTATTTAATGCATATCCATTATAATCTAAACTTTATTCCATTTGATTAGTCTTATGGTGACTTCAAGATTTAAAAAATAGCCAGTACTGGTTCCCTTATCTTGAGCATTTTAAAAGATTATGTAGATTATGTGTAAAAAATGTGGGATGAATTCTCAGTGTGTTTTGCCACCTGAATATTTTTAATCACAGTATAATCAGAAACAATATTCAGAATTAATTTTACAATAGAGTATATTAACCTATTGAAGATCTTATCTGGACATCAACTCTTTGAGATATTTGTTATGACCTTTTAAATAATATAGGAATTTATTTACAGCTATTTAGTATCTAAAGTGTATGGAAGTCTGATAAAATAGTCTGTAGGGGAATGTACTGTGAACCCAAAGGCAGCACTTCTCTGGCAGTTTGAATGCCATGTGGAAGAAAGCTCTCCTCCCATGAAATTTACAACCTCTTACAACCCACTGGAGGATGAACTATGAATCATTTCTAAATCCACACAAATGAGTTTTTTTGGGTATCTAAACACAGAATAGGGAGACCAAGGTTCAGCTTCACTGTTCATAGGGTCACTATGAGTCATAGTGGACTCGAGGGCACCTAATACCCAAAAAATAAATATTTATTACTTAAACAATTTTCTCTGTGTGTGATTGAGAATTTGATCCTTGGCTTGATCTTCAAATCAAGTCTATGTTTTGTTTTATTTTATTGAACATAGAATTCCATTTGTGTTTATAGGCAAACTTGATTCCTTAGATTCAAAACTCTAGAGTTATAATTTACATTTCCCCATACTATATTGGTATCTACAAAATGCTTATAGGTCTACTTGATGTGGCTTTTCATTGATAGGAATAAGTGTAATCATTGTAGAATATATATATTATAAAAAAGTGTGAGTGTCACAAGCTAATTTGAGGACAAGAAAATCCACTGAGCAGAAAAATTTATGATTGTATCCTGTTGTTTTCAAACATATACTACCCATGTATACTTCTACAAAATCCTTATACCTTTCATATTTAATAATCATATATCTTATGTTTATAAAATAAATGTTAAAAATACTCAAAATTTAAGACTGTGTGCATAGAAGATTCATTTATTTCTTTTTTTGTAGCTTATTCAGGATGATGTTGTTGATACTGGAAATGACAAAAATGAGAAGGAAGAAGTTATCAAGAGAAAAATCCCTTACATCCTAAAACGGCAGCTATATGAGAACAAGCCTAGAAGACCATACATACTTAAAAGAGGTTCTTATTATTACTAAGTTGAGTAAATAATTTATTTACTTGTGATTGTGATTTATGATTCTTTATTTAATTATCAAATATGTGGCAGAAAACAGTTACTTTTACTCTCCTATCAGTGTGGCTTTATGGATGTGATTTTTTTGCATTAATATTAATTGTACTAAATATTTTAAAATAAATCTACATCTTGAGCATGGTATCTTGTATATAATTGGTGCATTCATTATCTCCTATATAGCTTGGTTTGTAATTTTGCAAAACATTTTGTGGTATCATCAATGGTTAAAATGTTTGAATTTTTAGCAAATAATGAGAGTTTATAAAAAAGTCATTCAGCAAATCCAGCATACATACTATCACTCAAAAACAAATAACTTTTTTATTATTTCACTGATCATTCTTCTAATCTATATAGATGAGATAGAGATAGACAGAGATGATAGAGATAGTTATATAGATATGTTGTTGTTGTTGTTATGTGCCGTCAAGTCGTTTGCGACTCATAGTGACCCTATGTACAACAGCCCTAAACCCTGCTCTATCCTGTGCCAATCTCACTATCTCTGACACACGCAACCCGATTACCCCAGTCACTCTGTCAATCCACCTCATAAAGGGTCTTCCCCTCCTGCGCTGTCCCTCCACCCTGCTAAGCATGATGTCCCTCTCCAAGGACCTGTCTCTCCTTACAACATGTCCAAAGTATGTCAGATGAGGCCCAGAATCCTTGCCTCCAAGGAGTGGCCTGGTTTAACCCTCTCTAGGATGAATCTGTTTGTTTTCTGGGTAGTTCAGGGTACATTCAATACTCTTCTCCAGCACCACAGCTCAAAGGCGTCAATTCTCCTTCTATCCTCCCTAGTCATTGTCCAACTCTCTGATGCATAACAAGTGATTACAAAGACCATGGCCTGTATCAAGAGCACCTTAGTCTCCAGAGAGACACCGTTGCTCTGGAGTACTTTAGAGAGGTCCCTAACAGCAGACTTTCCCATTGCAATAGGTTTTTTTATTTCCTGGCTACTGGTGCCAAGAGTGTTGACTGTGGAGCCAAGCAAACTGAAGCTGTGAACAATCTCAATCTCTTCACCATCCATCCTGATGCTACCAATTGGTCCAGTGGTGAGAATCTTTGTCTTGTTGACATTGAGCCTCAGTCCATACAGAAGGTTACAGTCCTTGACCCTCTGCAGCAAGTGCATGAGATCCTCCTCAGTTTCAGCAAGCAGGGTTGTGTCATCTGCATAATGCAAATTGTTAATAGATCTTCCACCAATCCTGATGCCACACTTCTCCTCATAGAGCCCGGCCTCTTGGATAATCTGCTCTGCATACAGGTTGAAAAGGTATGGAGATAGGACACATCCCTGGCGTACACCCTTCCAAATTTTGAACCATGCGGTGTTACCCTGCTCTGTTCTGATGACTGCCTCTTGGTCCAAGTATAGGTTTTGCATTAGCACAATATAATGTTCTGGGATTCCCGTTCTTCTCAGAGTCAACCACAGTTTGTTATGATCCACATAGTCAAACACCTTTGCATAATCAATGAAACACAGATAGACATTCCTCTGGTATTCCCTGCTTTCAGCTAAGATCCATCTAACATTAGCTACAATATCCCTAGTACCATAACTATAGATATAGATATATATAATTTCTTCCAAATCTTACTCCTTATTGCTGTTGCATTTATGGGGTAGTAATAAGAACTATTGTTAATTCTATTTCTTTTAAAGAATGATCATCAAATACATTTACTTTTGTTTCAATAAACTCATTAGCTACTGAAAAAGAGGAAAATCAATAGAATCATCTTTCTCCACAGTTGTTGTTAAGTGCATACTGACCCTATGAACAAAGGACCTGAACCCTGTCCTATAACTATAGTCATTTCTCTAGGTCCATAGAATTTCCAGAGGCATGCAGTTTAGGAAGTGGATACCACTCCTGCTTCCAAAACTGAACCAATCTGGGAGCTCCACTAAACACTGTCCATGATGAGTAACCATTATATTTGACACACCAGTGGTGCAGTGTTCAGCATCACAGCAACCCCATATTACTTCAGTAAAGCAAATTGACTGAACAGTGTTGTACCACTTAGGAGAATGTTCATCCCAAACACAATTAAAGCAGGCCATAGGTCCCCCTTCATTTCAAATAAAAAGCTTGCCCACAAGGTCCTGGCTGACTCAAAACCAAGAGACTTCCAGCCCACAGATCATTGTTAGCTAAATCTGGCAAACTCAATCAGCTCACACCCAAATGTGAAAAAACAAACAAACAAACAAATAAAAACAAAAAACAAAACTAAACATCAATCTACCCAACCCTCATCAAGACAAGAGAAACTATCTTCCAGAATCCAACCGATTCATACATGAGCCTCCACAGAATTGCTTCTATTATAAAGGTATCATTTATTGATGTTATTCAATTTGTAATTCTATATGTACTTCATAATTACTTAAAAGATCAAGTTATATTGTAATACATTCACATTTCTGCATTCATATGCAAATATCAGTAATTTAGAGAAAAATTTGAAAACTTTTTAGAATTTTGTTGTTGTGGTGGTTGTGGTGATGGTTGTTGTTGATAGGTACCTTGAAATTGAGTACTACCCATAGTATCCCCATAAAACACAGATCTGAACCCCGTCCAATCCTGTGCCATCCTCACATTTCTTGTCACACTAGAGCCCACTGCAGCAGTAACTATGTCAATCCACCTGGTTGAGAGTCTTCCTCTCCTTTGCCAACCCTCTGCCTCTCTGAGCATCAGGTCCTTCTCCAAGGAACAGCCCCTCCTAGCTACCTGCCCAAAGTATATGAGGTGAAGCTTCACCATCTTTGTCTCCAAAGCGTACTCTTCTCCACCACAACAGCTCAAAGACACCACTTTTTCCTTCTGTCATCTGTATTCATTGTCCAATTCACAAATACATAGAAAGTGTTCAGAAAGACCATGGCCTGAATGAAACACACCTTAGTCCTCAAACTGACACCATTACTATTTAATAATTTGTACAGATTCCTAACTGCAGATTTTCCAAGTACAGTATGTCTCTTGATTTCTTGACTGCTGGAACCAAGGGTGTTCATTGTGGATCCAAGTAAGATCAATAGTTTCAATCTTTTCTCCATCTATCACAATGTTGTGTATTGGTCCAGTGGTAATAATGTTTGTTGAGATGCAATCCATGTTGAAGGCTGTGTTCTTTGATCTTCTGCAACAAGTGCTTCAAGTTCTCCTTACTTTTAGCAAGTTGGGTTGTGTCATCTTCATAATACAAGTTATTGATGAGTCTTGACAATATCTTCATAGAGTCCAGTTTTTCAAATCATTTTCTCAGCATGGAGATTTAATCGGTTTGGAGAGAGCACAAAACTTTAATTTTAAATCATGTAGTGTTCCCTTCCTCTACTTCCAAAATAGCCTCTTGGCCTAGGTATAGGTTTCTCATAAGTTGTTGATTGCCGTCAATTTGAGCACAACTCATAGCAACCCTATGAACAAAAGGCCTGAAGTCGCTCTATAATTACCATCATCTATCAAAGTTCATAGATTTTCCAGAAGCATGTTGTTTAGGAAGCGGATGCCACTTCTGATTCCAAATCTGTCTTAAACAGGGTCCTCCACCTAACACTGGCCACCATGGGCAGCCGTTCAATTAAGCGTACTCCCACTGTTCTGCAACTCCCATTCTTCTCAATGTATAGTCAACAAAGAAAAAAATAGACATTCTTCTGAGATTCTTTACTTTTAGCAATGATTTATCTGACATCAACAAAGATATTCTTGGTGCCACAGCCTCTTCTAAATTCTGCTTGAACTTCTGGCAGTTCCCTATCTATGTATGATCTTCAGCAGGATTTTCTTGCATTTGCTATTAATGATATAGTTCAATAATTTCCACATTCTGTTGGATCGCCTTTCTAAGAAATGGGAACAAATACAGACTTCTTTTAATCTCTTAGCCAGAAAGTTGTCCTCCGAAATCCCGGCATAAACTGGTGAGAATCCAAGGCTGCATCTGTTAGTTGAAATAAGTCAGTACTCCAAAGTTTCCTCCTTGAGTTTTATTTTTTTTGCCTTCAACGAAGCTTCTACTCCCCGCTTCATTACCATTGGCTCATGCTCACATGGTACTTTCTGAAATTTTTCAGTGTCAGTTATTTTTGATACAGTGACTATGGGTATTCCCTCCATCTTCTTCTGATGTTTTCTGGGTCATTTAATATGTTATCTATAGCTTCTGTGAATATTGTGACTCAAGACTTAAATTTGTTTTTCAGTCCTCTAAGTTTGAGGCAAAGGTACATCTGATCCAGGTTATTGTCTTCAAAATTTCTTGCTATGCATCAGAGAGCTGGACAATGACAAAGGATGACAGAAGAATTGATGCTTTTGAGCTGTGGTGCTGGAGAAGAGTGTTGAATATACCATGAATGTCTGGAGAACAAATAGGCTTGTCTTAGAGTAGGTGAAGCCAGGCTGTTCCTTGGAGTCAAGGATTCTGAGGCTTCCTCTGTCATAATTTGGGCATGTTGCAAGGAGGGACTGTTCCTTGGAGAGGGACATCATGCCTGGAAGGGTAGAGGGACAGAGAAAGACAGGGAGACTATTGAAGAGTTGGATTGATACACTGATTGGTAATGAGTGTTAGGTGTGTCAAAGGGCTGTTGTAAGTAGGGTCGTTATAAGTCACAAGTGACTCAATGGCAGATAACAAGTTTGAGAAATGCAGAGCAAGTTCTTCCCTTTTTATTCTCCAGTTCCAGCTCTTTGCACATTATACAATAATATTTTGCTTTGTCTTTTCAAGCTGCCCTTTGAAATCTGTTCAGGTCTTTTACTTTGTCATGTTTTCTCTTTGCTTTGGCTACTTATTGCTCTAGTGCAATCTTTAGAGTCTCTTCTGACATCCATTTAGATCTTTTGTTTCTCTGTCTTTGTAGTGATGTTATGTTTCCTTCATGGATGATATCCTTGACGTCATACCACAGATCAT